CAATTCAAGCTGAAACTGGGACGCCTCTGAGTGCCAAGGCACTGGATGAAGCCTGAGAAGTCTGTACAGTGACTCTGAATCCTTCACTGAAACAGCAGTCTCAGTACTTAAAACGTTCATAATTCGGAGGGTAATGAAAAACATAACAAGCTTGGTTTAAGCTTGGTTTCCTGGCACAAAGGTTGAGGGCGACTTTCATTTCGTTCAAGTCTCAGGCTGACTCTACCACACAACATTTGTTTTTTGTCTATAGAAGGTTTGAAGTAATTTCGCCTTATTGCCTAAATTAATAAAAAGCACTGAAGTTCAGTACGTTCTAACAGCTTAGAAGAAAGTTACCAAGAAGTTCCAAAGTCCTCCACCTGATCTAATGTCACGCCAAGCCTGATTTCTGTCCCCCTCTTGTTCTCAATGGCATTTATGTGACCTGGGGATGACATTCAAGAGAAGCATATCACTGACTTAGGCTGCTGAGTGCTAAAACACAGGCGGGTAATGGAAAGGACGAGGACAGTGGGGCTTTGCAGTCACCAAGAAAGGGGCTCAGAAGTGGAAACTTTCCCAGAGCTGAGGTTTATGCTTTCAAAGCTCTCACCTTGCTAGAGTTCAGGAACTTTTGATGGGTTCTGAGGACAGCAGTGCATGTAGGAACTGGCGGGAGCTGAATGAGCCACTTGACTGTCTGTTAGTCCAGTCTCTTGGCCCTCCTTGCCACATTTCTTCTTCTTCCCTGTCTGCCAGTTTGGAGACCTCCATGCCAAAGCTCCCTTTTTCTGTCTTTTATCTGGGGCCTACAATGTGCAATAAGCCACTCCATTTGTCCCTTTTGATCTCTCTTCTCAGCCAGCTGGCTCTAGTCTGCTGGAAGTAGACACTGATCACTATCAGGAAAAACCTGGAGCCCAGGGGTGGCAACCCTAAAGAGTGACAAGAGATCAAGGGCACACTTTACTATCTTCACTTATTATTTCTTAGAAGCTGGCTGGTAACATACCAGACTCACAAACTGACACCATCTCTATCTCCCAGGCTCTGAAGGCATACGTTCCTATCAGTTACTTTTAATAACCCTGAGGGTACCCCAGCCGCATTCTGTTGCGAACAGGCAAGGTCTGTCTGGTAGGCCAGCGTTCCTTAAGATCTTTCCCTAGAAGAACTGTTCTGCCCAGCTGCACGGCTGCAGTTACTAATTTTCTTATTCACACAGTGATCTGCCTTTCTTTCGTTTGCTGAGATCTCATCAGGTCTAATCTCTCAGCATTTTTTTCTTTCCTTTGTAGAACTCATGTGGTCTATTTACTTATGTATGAATCGAAAAAGGACTGGGCTATCTTTTTATACAGAACTTCCTGGAAAAACCTTACCTCTGGGGCCTTCAATTTTCAGGTTTAAAGGAAAGAATTCTGGTCAGTTATCTAATTTAAGTTGTTTACAGAACATATTTCCAATTACAGGGACAAGAACCATATTACCCAAACTGCAGCCACTTGCATACTACCTTTGTTTTCTAACATAACTACATACCATCTGTGCTATTCTTCTTTGATATTTCACATTAAATTGTCTCAAGTCTACACTATCCTTACCTTAGACAGTATTTACAAAATCATAGGTTTGATGTGCTAGTTTTACGTTTTTTAAAAATATTAAAATGTAATCGTTAAAAAGGAATATTTTCCTATCTGCCATCTAAAATTATCTCCGACACCACTCATGATAGTCTCGCATTTTGAGAAACACTCATTTAGAATCTAAGTTTTAGAACTACATAAAACTAGGTTTGGGATTTACATGAAAAATTTTATAGAAAAAAATGTACTACTACTTCAACTTAGCCAAAGATGAAGTATTACTCTGGTCAGTTCACAATGACTTTGAAAATTAAAAAAAATTAGCATATTCTAGAATAATGGAAAATATGTAAAATAAGAACAAATTTGTAGCTGTTATCAAATCCTGTCTTCAAAAAGCCATCTGAGTTCTTTCTTTTAAACTTTGTCAGTTATCCGTTCAGTTTCTTTTTTGGTTTGAGACAGTGTCTCACTCTGTCACTCAGGCTGGAGTGCAATGGCGCAATCTCAGCTCATTGCAACCTCCACCTCTAGGGTTCAAGCAATTCTCATGCCTCAGCCTCCCGTGTAGCTGGGATTACAGGTGTGCATCACCACGCCTGGCTAATTTTGTATTTTTAGTAGAGATGAGATTTCGCCATGCTGGCCAGACTAGTCTTCAACTCCTGATCTCAGGTGATCCACCTGCCTCAGCTTCCCAAAGTGCTGGGATTACAGGCATGAATCGCTATGCCTGGCCCCATTCAGTTTTAAATAAATGATCATATCAGAGCATTCCAGTCTGGAGAGAACCAAAGAACACTGTTGTCCATTTGGTTTAACCATACAGGCTGAACTAAAACAACCTAACAAATGCTATCTATTTTTCAATCCCACCCTCAAATCCTACATCTCCAGAAGCAGAAACAAGCTCAGCTGTGATCTGTAGTAATTCCATTAATCCTACAATGAAGCATTAAATTAAACTGCCTAGCACAGATTCTTCTGTTACAAGGGAAAATGTATCCTGTAAGGTCTGTATTTTATGCAGACAGACTTACTAAACAACACCATGTTTACAGAAGGATACAAATGAGCAGAATAATTTGGCAAATTGTGAAATCTCCAGTGGGGGTGTCATGGCAACTGATTTTTTTTCCTGCTAATATTTACTATAAAGATTATAGTTACAGAGAGTTTAGTTTCTCCTTGGAAAGAACAGTTCTCAGGCTGGGCACAGTGGCTCATGCCTGTAATCCCAGCTTCATGAAGCCGAGGCAAGCGGATCACCTGAATTCGAGAGTATAAGACCAGCCTGGCCAACATGGCAAAACCCTGTATCTACTAAAAACTCAAAATTAGCTGGGCATGGTGGTGCACGCCTGCAATCCCAGCTACTCAGGAGGCTGAGGCAGGAGAATTGCTTGAACCCAGGAGATGGAGGTTGCAGTGAACTGGGATTGTGCTACTGCACTGCACTCCAGCCTGGGTGACAGACTGAGTCTGTCTTAAAAAAAGAAAAAAAGGTAGCCGGGCGCGGTGGCTCAAGCCTGTAATCCCAGCACTTTGGGAGGCCGAGGCGGGTGGATCACGAGGTCAAAAGATCGAGACCATCCTGGTCAACATGG